TTGTCAAGTACATTCCAAAGCACAGTGACATAATATACAAAATATATCCAAGAGAAAAGATGCTTTTATATTTATATATATACATACGGGAGTCCTGGTGTGGCACTCACTGGCACTCAACAACAACAACAAATACATACCTACATAGCAACCATATAAAAGGTTTCTGAGGACCAGCGGCTGGTGGATCTGAACCAGCCTTGTTTGTGGTTAGCAGATCAGTGCTTATCCTAAGCACCACACCAGGACATGTATGTATGTATATATGGAGAGTCCTGGTGTGGCACTGCAGGATAAGCAGTGAACTGCTATCCACAAGGTTGGCAGTTCAAACCCACAAGTTGCTCCTCAGATACCCGATACAGGGTTGCTATGTATGTGTGTGTGTAATCATATATATAGGATCATCTTTCCTCTTGGATACATTTTGTGAGACAAAAAAATTGATAAAAATTACACTCTGCTAGAAACAGGTATTTGGGATATGTTGTTGTTGTTAAGTGCTGTCAGGTCTGTTCTGACACACAGACACCCAGTTTCTAAGAAGCAACTGGTGAGTTTGAACCACTGACTTTGTGGTTCAAACCCACTTTGCAGTCCTGCCAAACAGGACTTTATTAATTATATATATACTAACCATTACATTTAAGATAAAAAATATTATCTACTGCAGATCACAAAAATGACATACCTAAGTTCCTTGGTCTGCAGATCTATAGGATCATGAGTTTCACTGTCCATGTGGAATCGAACTTCAGGAGAAGACAAAGTTAAAGCCCTAAATAAAATTCAGAGATGTAAATTTAGTCAAGTTAGGCAACAGAAATCTATCTGGAAACAATTCTTTCAAAATAAAAAATGTGTATCAGTTGTTCCTCTGAAGTTTTGTGTTCTATTTTCATGAATAGCCTTAAGAGGCTAAGAGCAACACAACTTCATCCCTGTGCTTCTCGGCTGCTTTATCTTCCGTACCCAATATGAGTTTTTCTGAGCTACATGGGTTTGTAATCACTTTAAAAAATAAGGGTGACTTCCACTATTTTATACTTACCACTGTAAAGCATCTTCCATGCAAATTCAACCAATGAAGGCAAGTCTAGTGTTTCTTTAAGGAGCTCTTGTAGCACAGTGGTTATGAGTCAGGCTGCAAAACGCAAGATCAGCAGTTCAAAACTGCCAGTGGTTCCTTGAGAGAAAGATGAGGCTTTCTGCTCCCATAAAGATTTATAGCCACAGAAACCCTGTACAAGGTCGTCATGAGTCGGAACTGACTCCACGGCACATAACCACCACCACTACCATCAATGTTTCTTCACACCTTGATACTTTTATTAACTCCAAAAATCAACCTACAACTAAGAATTTTAGTGAGGTTGGGCAATGTTTGGTAATCATAGTAAAAGGAAAAATGAGGGGGAATAATAACATGTTGTTGCTGTTAGGTGCCATCTAGTCGGTACCGACTCATAGCGACCTTATGCACAGCAGAAAAAAACATTGCCTGATCATGGGCCAACCTCACTACTGTTGCCACGCTTGAGTCCATCGATGCTGCCACTTGCCCAATCCATCTCATTGGGAGTCTTCCTTTTTTCTCTGACCCTCCACCTTACCAAACACAATATCCTTCTCCAGCGACTGGTGCCTCCTGAAAATATGTCCTTAATATGAGAGACAAAGTTTGGCCGTCTTGGCCTACAAGAAGCACTCTGGCTGCCCTGCTTCCAACACAGATCTGTTGGTTCTTTTAGCAGCCCATGGCACTTTCAATATTCTCCTCCAACACCATACGCAAAAGCATCAATTCTTCTAC